ACCAGTCCTTCTCTTCCTGGAAGATGCCAGGTCCCGGCCTCAGGCCTTTTTACATTTGTTCTTCTACCTGGGACATTCTTCCAACCGAGGTTAACAGCTCTTGGCTCTGGCTGCCCAGTAGGATCACCTGAAAAACTTTAAATGACGGATGCCCAAACCCCAGCCCAGAGAGTCAGATGTCATTATTTGGGGGAAAGCAGGGAGGGTCTTAGCATTTACGGGTTTGTTATTTAAAAAAAACAAACAAACACCTTCCCAGGAGCTTCTAATGTTCTGCGAGCATGAACAACCAATGCCCTGGTCATCAGGGCTCGGTAGCCCTTCCTTCAGGTTTCTGCTCAGTAGCCAGCTCCTTGGAGAGGCCATCCCCAAGCACACCGTCTACCTGCCCTGCGCACCGTGCTTATTTACCTTCAACATTATCTGTCCCACCTAGGATTACATTGTACGCATGTTTGATTGCTTCCCATGGGGAATGTCAGATGGATGAGGGCAGAGGCCGCACCTGTTTTGTTCAGTGCTGTGTCCTCAGTGCTCAGTCCAGAGGGTTCGGTAAACAGCTGTCACCTGAACGAACGGCTTTGGCCCACCTCTCTGTCTCCGGTGGTCCAGCTCCGACTCTGGGGGCTGCAGTCCTAGATGAGGGCCACCAGGTGGCGAGAGTGCCCGATCGCATTACGGGCCTCCGCAGCAGGTCCTGCTCCGCGCCCGGCCATCCCTAAAACGTAGCAAGGACCATGGCAGACCCCACTGTCGATTCAGACTCATCGGGCATCTGAAAATTCTCGACCGGGACTAGCGCCAGAGAGGAAGGCTCCACAGCCCTGTCTGGAAGCTCCAAGTGCTCCCCCTCTTGTCTGGCCGCTCACAGACCCTCTGGTGCAGCCTTGGAGGACTCCCATGGGTGTTGGAGACTGAGGACCCAACCACCGGAGGCTGTGGATCACGGACCCAGAGGGGAACGAAGAGGCGCTGGAAAAATGCCCCAGGCCTCAGGCTAAGTAAAAAAGGAAACAAGACAGGAGGGTGTGTGTCAGATGCTGCCAGTTATGTTCCAGGAGAGAACTGCCTCTCCGCGGAGGTCTGTAAATGCACAGAACTGAAGGGTGCGTAGGAGAGGGACCTGGGAGAGCCAGGGGGCTGGGAGCACACCCATATCTTTCCAAATGGAAGGCATGGACCTAGTCAAATATATAGTAAAATTCAACATTTTTTTAAAAAGCACCACTTTCTCTACCACTGTGAAAGCCACTTCCTCCTCCAGTGCCTCCTTCCCTGGGAGGCTGCAGCTGAGACCGTGGGTGCAGGGGTCATGGTGAGGAAGGCTCAAAGGCTGCCCCTGCTCAAACACGGCCCCATCCAGGAGCCAAGTGTCCTTCCAAGCCCGCCCATCCCCTGACACAGCTCACCTGTGAGTACGACGCACAAGAGGAAGTCATAAATATGTATTAACTTTGCTCAAGGATATGAAAACTAGTAAGAGGCTGGGACAGAGGACAATGGGGGGAGGGGAGTGGCTGCTTCAGAGGTGACACCTGAAAGACAATCCGAGTAAGATGCCAGCCACAGAAGGGTGTGCCAGGCCAAGGGCGCAGCAAGTGCAAGGGCCCTGGGGCCAGACAGGGGCTGGCTTGCTGGAGCTGGAAGAACAGGGGGCCATACTGCGGTCCTGCTCACAGCCTCAGCCTCGTCCCTTAAAGTGGGGCTGTGTCCCCCGCCCCCCTGTGGTCTTCACATGAGAAGGCAAGGTGCACATACATGCCCAATGAGGAAGCTGAAAAAAATTTTTATCTCAAAAAATGACAATGTCCATGGGGTGCCTGGGTGGCTCAGTCGTTAAACGTCTGCCTTCAGCTCAGGTCATGATCCCAGGGTCCTGGGATTGAGCCCCACATCAGGCTCCCTGCTCAGTGGGGAGTCTGCTTCTCCCTCTCCCACTCCCCCTGCTTGTGTTCCCTCTCTAGCTATGTCCCTCTACCAAATAAAATTAAAAAAAAAAAAAATGACAATGCCCCATTTACTGGGAAAAGCATTCAATAGCAGTCCAATTAGAATCTTTCAGCAGCTCCATGGCCTTGAGCTAGTTACTTCTTTGGGCCTCTTGTTTCTACAAGAGCACCTGGCAGCTCACATTAGGGCGGCCCACACCCACCAGGTGAATGCCAGGGACCACTGACCCTGTGACATCCGGTGCCCTCTCCACCTCCACTCCTCTCAGCCATACCAGCCACCCTGCAGCTCTTCCAAGCATGTCAAGCTCAGAGTGAATACCCCAGGGCCTTTGTACCTGCTGGTCCCAGTCTAGGATGCTCACCCACTTCATGTCCCCATAGCCAGCTCTTCATTCAGGTCTCAGGTCAAACGTCGCCTCCTGAGAGAAGCCCCAGCATAATCCCAGTGAGAGTAGCCACCTTCACCCCTTGAATAATCTCCATTTTTGGTTCGTTCCTGGGTTTTGGCACCAAAATAAATAAATAAATATAAAAAATAAAATATCCCCATTTTGTTCCTTTCCCATCAGTGGTCAGCAAATGGCCTGTGGGCCAAATCCAGCCCATCCTCTGCTTTTGGTTTGGCCCATAAGCTGAGGATAGTATGTACATTTTTAAATGATTGAAAAAAAAATCAAAATATTTTGTGACCCACGAAAGCTAGATGACCAGGGCGTACCCGGGCCACGGTGAGGTCGCACGCTGCCCAGCCCACCGCCCTAGCCACGGAAAAACTGTCCCCTCCCCTCTCACTCACTGTCTTGCAAAGACCGACCAGGATTTCCCTTCTGGTTGCGGTGTCCCTGTCAATAAATTCCAAGGAAGCGGACTTCCCAGGAAAGGTGCCCACTGGGGGCCCCTATTTATCATGTGCCCACCACCTATGGAGATGTCCTTGACCGCCTGTGCTGGGTCATGCAGACCGGACACGGCCATCCCGACCCAATGGAAAACTGCAAATTTGAGGACGACCAAGCCATTTTTCCAAAAACAGTTTAATTAAAAAAAGGTGAAGAATCTGAAAAAACCGGGGGCAGGGGAGGGGCGGAACCCAAAAGAGCATACTGTGTGAGTCCACTGGCTCAGTCACAAAGAAACACCATCATCAAAAAAGATATTTAAGTTTAATACAAATTTTATACAAAGAAAATGTGAAAAAATACTTCCATATGCTAAAAGCAATTATGCTTCACAAATAAGGCCAGCTAGGCTATTTTTTTTTTTTTTTGACAACTGCAATTCACAAATGTTCTTTCTCTCTTTTTCTTCTAATACTCTCTCTGCGTAGTTCTTCTCTAATATGGGTAACTAGCTGGAAACTGTACACGGTTCGCATCCTCTTATCAACAATGAAGAGAAAGTAAACAGGACTAAAATGTACAACAGAATGTACTGGAATGATATTGTACAATTAATTTTCTCATATACATACATCACCTTTTGCTTTGTTCAATGCTTTTTGTTTTACACAACATACAAAATGGTACTACAGTGCGCGTACTGTGACAGCACGGCCGGTGTCTTGCTTTCTCTCACACTGCCTCTGTTTCATGCTTACATAAAAACGTAAAATTCCATCGTATAAATAATACATACATGCTTCATCCCAGACTCAAATGTCCTCTGCGTGCATCTTGCCTTTGAGTGCTCGCTTCCAAGAAGCACGGCATTGCTTACCAAGTATGTGTGAGTGTGTTTAAAAGGAACCACAAAGCAAAGAAAAGATTTCTCTTTGTTTCAGAGCTTATGACTCTTCAAGCTTCCTCTGTCCTCTCCTGCGGTGGAGCTGAGCGGGACTTGTTTCCGTCTTCTGGAAACAAGGGCCTTTTTTCTTCCCTTTTAGGAGTAGTCATCACTGAAACCACACAAAATAAACTAGCTTCTCCAGGTGGCCTTCCGGTCCAGAGAGCTTGCATTGTATAACATAGGAACGTAGTATCTGAAAGGGGCCGATGGCTCCATGGGATGTACCCACAACTCCTGGTCCCGATGTGCTGCGTAAAGACGCCCGAACACCAATGGGTCGCATCCCCCCGCAGCGTGCACGGATGAGGCCTGTGTACCACAGCGACCCCAGGGCCCGGGCTCCATGCCGCCGTGACAGAGGGGCCGACCGACCAGCCCTCCTCCAGCGTCCAAACATTCTTTTCGTTACTGGGTTTATTTTTTTCTAATGCTTTTTCTTTTTCTTTTTTTTTTATAAGTTAAAGTCAATACAAATATAAAAAGGGGAAGGTATTCTAGGTTCAAGGACATCCACAAATTGTACATCATTTACACCTAAAGCATAGGTTTCGTGTGGGTCCAACAGTCCTCAGTCGATGCCAATGCAGGACGCTATGTAGTGTAGGCTGCCCTCTGTGCCAAAGGCGAAGGCCAAGTCCGCGCGCCTGGTGCTCTCCAGTCTGAAGGAGGCTGCTCTCCAGTCTCACGTTTCTTTGCTGCTTCCTATTGCCCTGGTGTCTGGTTTTTTTTTCCTCCACGGCGTGGGTGGCTTGTGTCGTGACTTGTCCCTAGTCCCAGAAGGTGTCCAGCCGAGACTCTTTCGGGAGGAGACTCTTCGAACTGGAACTGGTGTTGTGCTCGGAGCGTGCGGGTCCTCGCTTCTCGTCACTGCTGCTCCAGCAACTAGACTTACTGCTCCGGGAGTGGTCTGCAGGAGAAGAGCAACAGAAGGGGAGGTTGAACATTCCCGCCGGCCCCACCGAGGCGGAACTGCCCCACCACCGGGCCCGCGCCTCCTCGGCGGGTCGCCCCTCTGCCCTCCTGCTCGGGGCAGCGTGGCCCGAGCCACCGTCCGCTCCCCAACGCAGGGGCATCTCCAGAGCACAAAGGCAGAACGACTTCTCGTTCTGGGATTCAACAGCTGATCAGAAAAGCAGGAGGCCGCCACGTGGTGGAAAACCAAGACTGGTGAGGAAGGAAGTGAGGCGCCGAGGGAGGCGGTCCTTACGCGGCACCTGAAACCGTGTGTCCGTACCACACGGCGGATCGACACCAAGCACCTCTTGGACACTTCTGTGCCCAAGCGCGGCTGCTGGAAAGGGGAGCCGAAATGTGGCATTCGATTGACTTCCTTCTATTGGTGGAGTTTCTTTAGTCAATTTATAGACAACTTGAAAAACAGACTATAACCAAACCACCTGAGGGAGAGGATCACAGAGGAGAAGGATCGAGGGCCAGCTTGGTTAAGTCGAGCTAGAAACAAGATACCCAGCAAGCACAGGCTGGGGGTCACCCAAGGACACAGAACCAGAGGAGAAGACCGAGGACGGCTTTGAGGAGACACGGACCACAAGAAGCTAAACAATGGCTGTGGAAGCTAAGAGGAAGTTGAAGGAAGAGCCAAACAAGGGGTCTGTAAGCTGTCGTGTGGCTCAGCTCAGGCAGGCGTGGCTGACGGCGAGAGACCCATCAGCACACCGCCAAGACCCCATCACACCCTGATCTTCTGACAAGTTCAGGGAGGCCGGGGTGAAACTTCGTTTTTAAATTTCTTGAGGTGAGATGATAATATTTAATTGAAAGAAGCCAACTGTCAAGCTCAGAGACAGAATGAGAATGAGTGAGGAAGGGACCAGAACAGAGCTGGGGGATGACGGTTCTCACCGCCTGGTAAAAAGGAATGCGTGTGTTTAGTCACGCGTTCTGGTTTTGGAGGATAAGTAATAAAGAGAAAGATAAAAATCTCCAAAGTAATGCGTTCACCCAGGAGAGACTTCTTTTTAACCATCTGCATCAATGACCAAAACAACAGGCAGTATTCCGGTAGACAGAACTGCGGTCCTAAATCCCGCTCTTCTTACTCATTCTTCCTCTGAGTGAAACCTACACGGGATGGTTCTTCAGGAAGGTCTCTGGGGAGTGGTCAGCTGGTCATCATCCAACGGGAGAAAATCCGACAACAATGCAGTCAAGTGAAGGAACCTGCACCACAGAGCCAGGCCAGCCAGCCCCAGGTCTCTGCAGGACCCCGCTCCTCACGCTAACAGGACACAGGGCTCTCTGGCTGGTATGGCCAATCACTGCAGGGGAGAATCGGTGTTAACCTAGGACCCTTTCTGAAAAAACAACAAGGATGATCCCTTCCAGAAGCCAAACTGTACACTCTGGCTCTCGTTTCATACTGCAGTTTTCCATGGCCCTGCGAAGCACAGCTAAGAAGCACAAGGCAGAGCAAGCCTCACCAGTCAGAAAACAGAAGACACGCCCACAAAGGGAAACGCACGCACAAGACACGCCCACGAAGGGAAACGCACGCACAACGAGCCTTCTGCAGGCCAGGAACGATCCCGGCAGCTTCGGGGACACAGGGTCCTACTTCCCCTTGTGGGCTGGATAGCCGGGGCGCGGGCTGCTGGGCCGGGGCGCTCGGGGCATGGGCAGGCTGCTTACCACACCCGCCGGGACCCGAAGAGCTGGTCCAGGCAGCCTCAGAGACCGTCAGGGAGCTCGGGGGGGCCATGACCCAAGCACCTGCTACTTGTGTCCGTCAACAGGCAACCCGCCGTAATCAGAACTGTGAGCCCTTCTCCAACCGGAGGCATTCACGGGCACTGGCGCTTTTCTACTGTGCATGTTAAGCCGCGGGCGGGGTCACTGGCCACACAGCACGGTGTGACGGGTGGCGGCAAAGGTGCACCGATGACATAAAAGCAACTTTGTGAGCGACAAGTTCAGAAGCACGTCAAAAGCACAATTCTCCGAACCACTAGTTCTGCCCACAGCCTAATTCAACCAGGGAAACAGGGGCCAGAACCAAACTGAGGCAGAGAGCATCACCCAAGGGATCGGGATTCTTGAGGGGGATCATAACTCCTCTACCACCAAGGCTGACTGAGGACCGGCCGGGCGGGGCGGGTGAGGAAGGCGCCCTGGTCAGGACTGAGGAAGGGGCTACAGACGAGGTATCGAGGGGCCAACTCCTCCGCCACGATGACGGGATCCTAACAAGTAACATCTGAAACCGAGGAGCCAAAACTTAGTGATACGAAAGGGCTTTCAATGACATGAAGGGTAAGGGGTCCGCTGAAGAGCTTGGTGCAGAAATCAGTTAACTGAAGGCAGGACAAAAGGCAAAACAGAAACTGCAGGAGAAGGGACAGCTGGGCCTGAATGGACGCATAATCCCGGCAGCCCAAGCACCTCAGCAACAAACAGCCAGCTCCGGACTGCGGGAGCCCGGCCTCAACGTCTCCGGCTCGGCTGCCAGGTGCCAAAGAAGACCCAACTGCGGTTAGGGACAGATGCACCTGCTCTCCACCCTGAGGACGGGAGGTCCCAGCGGAGCAGAGGGCCGGCTGGACACGGCTGGAGGAGGAGGGGCAAGGGTGGAGGGCAGCTGCCGAGGGAGGGGACAAGAGACGCCTTCTCTGGTGGACAGAACCGGAACAAAAGAGTGCACGTTGTATTTGACCCAGGGAACCCCTAGAGCAACCTAAACAGTGACACAGGTCGTCAGGGACGAGGGGGAGAAGAGAGGTCATCGATGAGCCCAACTCTCATCTTCTAAAGCTGGAAGTCAACAAGCAATGTGGAAAACTAACCTCCAGAAACAAAAGTACAGGGACATACGTTATCTGTACGTAAGGAGGTACATACCAGAGACGTCAGTGGGGACTGGGCCTAGGAACGATCCTTCTCTGGACCATTTTATTTTCTCTAACTATATGCATGTTTTGCTTTAGAATCTCAAAATTAAAAGACAGGCAAGCAGCAAGGAAGGGCGTACCCCCTACTAAAGCTTTCTCCCTCCGGCTGTGCCCTCCTCTTCCTCACCCGCCCAGCACCAAGAGCCACTCTGAGCTCAGGAGTCCCCAGGGTTTCAGAGCCCACTTCCGTCGGCGAGATTCCACCCGCACAGCCACCAACAGCAAGAGCCAGCGGAAGAAATACGACGTATGAGGAATTCGAAGGGGCAGCAAACAGGCTTTCGCACAACCTCCAGCACAACGTTTTGTGAGAAACGGAGGAAAATGGTAAGATGCAAGTCTGCTGTCCTGACCAGGCCTCCGGGCACCTCCTGCTTACGCTCAGGGATGTCATGGGAACACTGCCTGAAAATACTTTTCTTCCTCCAATCTCTGACAGTGAGCTCCGGGGTGCTCCGCCCCCCCCTTTGCTAATACGCCTCCCGTCCAGCCTCGTCCCAGGTCCTAGATGTGGACACTTCCTGAGTTCAGCCCTGGGTGCACCTCTTTCTTTAGCCAAGACCTGCCGAGACGGTCCCTTCTGCTGGGGAGATCCTGGGACTCTGACCAATCCCATCTTTGTGAGACAAGGTCTCAAAACGCCGTTTAGAATCAAGACGTCCACAGTTCTTCATGGCTCAGAGCTCAATGGTGACCGCGCAGAGACAGAGACCACACGGCAAGAGCACAGGAGTAAGAAAGCAAGAGAGACAGGATGGAACAACTTTTAGACAGACATCTACCTGGGCTGGGGAGGAGACAGGTTGTGGGTTGTGCTGTTCAACACGGTAGCCACTAGCTACGCGATGCTACTTAAATAAAGTAAAAGAAAATGGTAACTTCTGCTCCTCAGCGGCCAGGTGTGCGAGCAGCTACCATAGGGGATAGCGCAGGCAGTACAGAATGTTCTAGGGGACAGCACTGCTCTAGGGGGAGATGCAAGGTGTCAAGGAAGGAACCTGGAAGTACAGGAGGATATTTAAACGCCATGGAGGGGCGCCTGGGTGGCTCAGTCGTTAAGCGTCTGCCTTCAGCTCAGGTCATGATCCCAGGGTCCTGGAATCAAGCCCCACATCAGGCTCCCTGCTCGGCGGGAAGCCTGCTCCTCCCTCTCCCACTCCCCCTGCTTGTGTTCCTGCTCTCGCTCTCTGTCAAATAAATAGATAAAATCTTAAAAAAAAAAAAAAAA